ATAAGTACTTTATCACTTTTACTGATGATTGCACTCGATATTGCTATGTGTATTTACTCTAAAGCAAAGATGAAGCAATCGAAGTGTTTAAACACTGTAAGTTAGAATTGAAAATCAACTTAGCAAAAAGATTAAGGCAATAAGAAGTGAGATGATGTTAAACACTGTAACATGGTATTCATCAAACTATGCGCGTTATTCTCCTCAATCTAATGGTATTGCCGAACGCAAGAATCGAACATTGAAGAAGATGATGAGTGCTGTATTGATAAGTTCTGGATTATCGAAAAAAATTTGGAGGGAAGATTTACTTTCTGCCAATTATATTCTTAACAATTTGCCACATCGAAAAACGTACAAGATACCTTATGAATTATGGAAATGTCACAAACTTAACTATAAATATTTAAAGGTATGGGGATGCTTGGCCAAGGTAGCGGTTCCTAAACCTAAAAAGGTTAAGATATGACCTAAAATCATTGATTACGTANTGTTAAGATAGGACCTAAAACCATTCATTGGTTATGCCTATCATAGTAGCTCATACAGATTTATAGTACATAAGTCTGAAATAGCGGACGTGCATGTTAATACGATTATTGAATCGAGGGATGCTACATTTTTCAAAAAATGTTTTTCCTTATAATCTGCAAAGTAAATCAAATTCACTTAAAAGACTTCTTGAGAAGGAAGAGATTGTAAATGAAGAAGAACCTAGATGCAGTAAGAGGGCAATGACGACAACCTCATTTTGGCCTGATTTTCTAACATATTTGTTAGAAAATGAACCTCGAAGTTATAAAGAGGCTATGTCATCGATCGAAACTTCATTTTGGAAAGAAGCGATTAATAGTGAAATTGAATCCATACCATAAAATCATACATGTGAATTAGTAGACCTTCCTCCTGGCAATAATTAGGGGTGTAAATGGATTTTCAAAAAAAAAAAAAAATGAAAGCAGATGGATCAATTGACAACTATAAAGTTAGACCTGTCGCTAAAGGCTACAAGCAAAAAGAAGGTCTTGATTATTTCGATAGGTATTCACTAATAACAAAAACTACTTCCATACGTATGCTTATTGCGATAGCAGCATTGAATGGCTTGGATATACATCAAATGGATGTTAAAACGGCATTTCTGAATAGTGAATTAGATGAAGAAATTTATATGGAACAACCTCAATGATTTGTGGCCCCAGAACAAGAAAAGAAAGTATGTCGACTTGTTAAATCACTTTATGGATTAAAGCAGGCTCTTAAGAAATTGCATGAAAAAATTGACACGGTAATGATGTCAATGGCTTCAAAATCAACGAGTGTGACAAATATGTGTATTTCAAGAGCACTCAAAATAAATATGTCATGGTATGTTCATACGTAGATGACATGCTAAATATGGGTAACAATGGTACCATAATTCAAACTATTAAAAGGATGTTTAACAAGTTTGAAATGAAGGATTTGGGGGTAGCCGATGTTATATTAGGAATTAAAATTCTTAGAACATCCGATAGAATCATATTATCTCTATCACACTACATTGAGAAAATTCTTGATAAGTTCAAGAAATATGATATAATTCCTATGAAACCCCAATGGATGCCAATACGTATCTCATTTCTAACACTGGTGATAGCAAGTCTCAATTGGAATATTCTCGTATTATTAGCAGTTTAATGTATGTCATGAATTACACTCGACCTGATATTGTTTATTCTATTAGTAAGCTAAGTCGATATACGAGTAATCCGAGCACTGAGCACCGTAGGGAAATTGTTAAGAGTTTTAGGGTACTTAAAACATACCAAAAACTTCAGATTGCATTATTTGAGATATCCAAGAGTACTTGAAGGATATTGCAATGCAAATTGGATATCAAATACTAAAGACACCAAATTAACCAGTGGATATGTCTTTACACTTGGAGGTGCTGCAGTATCATGAAAATCTTCAAAACAAACATATATAGCTAGATCAACAATGGAATCTGAATTCATTGCATTAGACAAAGTTGGGGAAGAAGCCGAATGGCTATGAAACTTTCTAGAAGATATTCCATGTTGGATTAAACCTGTGTCTACTAAATGTATCCATTGGAATAGTCAATCACCAATTGGTAGGGCACAAAATGCTATGTATAATGGTAAATCTCTACATATACGTCGCAGACACAATACTGTTAGACAGTTGCTCTCTACTAGTATTATCTCTATAGATTATGTGAAATCAAAAGAGAATATTACGGATCTGCTAACTAAAGGCTTAACGAGAGCAAGTCGAAAGTTCAATAGACACTTTTAAAAAGTTTTAATTGAATATACCGTGACTTTTAGAGAATTTTTAAAAGCTTATAAAAGTCTCAATTGAATACACAAATACTTTTAGAGAGTCTCCAAAAGTCTACATTGAATACCCCTAAACTTTTTAAATCCCAAAAAGTCATTAAAAATCTCAATTGAATGCACCCCCTTATCCCACATATGAAAGTTAGGAACTTTTGTGTAGTTTATATAGTGTAAGGTTGAGAATTGAGTTTAGGCCCAAGGGGTACCAATAGTCTTTGGAAGGGGGAGAGACTTATATCCTTTTGGATTCGATCCAAACCCCACATGCGCGTACCGCAGCTGCCGTCCGTCTGGCCCCATCGACTCGGCTCGGCTCGACACGGCACAGTACGGGCTCGAGCCCGAGTCGGTCCGGTTCGTGTGTGGGTGCGTCTTGTACTATATTATCTTTTTGGACAAAACTTATTTAATTTTTGATCAAATTGTAATTAATCAAATTCTTGGGTAGTTAATGGAATTATTTTTTTATTAGCTTATTTTCAGGTAATTTTTTATCTGGATGATTGTTAATTGACTAAACAACTGACTGTTAACCGTCTAAACAGTCGACTATTAACTGAACCTTGCTATCTGGTCGAGTTTTGGGGGGCTGCCTGAACAGTGACGACTGTTCTGAAATGGCTTGAAAGTTGTTCGAATGGCCATGAATAAATCTATAAATAGCAAAAAATACACCGTTTTCATTACAATCATTCTCTGCTTTGAATCTCACTCTCATCTCTCATTCTGATATCGTTCTCAAAGTGAAAAAATACTTCGTTGAGTTCGTTGGAACTCTTGCAGATTGTTGTGATGCTTCCGTAGGAAACGAAATTTGTTCTATCCTGAGAATCGATTGCTAAATACTTTAGCACCTGTGAAGACAGTAAATTCGTTTTAAGGAAACATCGTGAACTCGGTGGGCTCAAATTAATACTGTGATCTTGTTGATCAAACTGGTTACGCTGTCCAATTACTTCAAGGTAATTCTGTAGTAATTTTCGAATGAGACTTTTATATTTTAGAATAACACTCGACTCTCTCCTAGCAATCCCCATAACATGTACTATGTCTCTCTGAACCAATTCATGTACTTCCTCTGTCTTAATGCCTCAGGTGCTAACTGTTGCAGGATGGAGTAGGATACCCTCTCACCAGCTTAGCTCAATCCCAAATAAGAGAGAGAAGGGATCCTCACTGGGAACTAATTAATTCTGTTTACATCACATAAAAATATATTTAGATTAAGCATGTTGGAACATTAACGGTAAAAAAATAGAAAATAGTGATGTGAGTTTAAGTAGAATGAGAAAAAACAGTTTTGAGCACAGAAGCTATACACTAAGATGAGGTAATAAGCATTATTTGGTTAATTGGTTCAAGTGCTAATGTAAGAGTAGGTAAGTAATAATTATTTGAGTGGCTCAATAACTGAATCATGAAAACTAATAATGATACAAAATGTCAACCTTTTGAGCATCTCTTTTTCTATAACAAAGATGATTTTTTGTGTTACTGCTGAGAAAGGCATATATATATATATATATATATGTACGTGTGTGTGTCAATATGAAAAAATCTCCTCCGCAATATGTAAGTCGATATTACAAATAAACAAACAATAGATCTTTCTCAAAGTCTGAGAACTTAAAATTAGATTGTTATCTCCACCTTATCTTGGAGAAGCCGCACTCCCATCGTTCCTTACAACTGAGCATACAACCTGTCTTGATATATAGGACTCCAGTTCTGTGGAGACCCGAGTCAACTTCAAATCAAAATCGCTTTTATACCTGTGCTTTTGTGATGGAGAACAAGAAAGCCGTCTTCTTGGACTTGAAAATTGTCCAGGTGATCCTATAAGCCCCCCTTTTGAGATCAGAGGTGCCATACTTATATTTTTATCTGGTTTCATCAGCGGACCACTTTTCAGTTCCAGAGGTAGTGGCTTCATTGGATCACTTTCCACCAACATCTCCTTCTGTTTCCCAAGCCTTTCCTTTGCCTTCTCAGCTGCAAGTAAAGCTTTCTCTCGGCTTACATTTATTAGTTTCCATGGGTCAATGCTTGCACGGAACCCTTGCTTTTTCTTCAAGGTAAACGGTTCAGGTTGTTCATCAATCCTTATGGACAATTTTTGAGTCTTCTGAAACTGCAAGAAATCATATATAGTGAGACGAGCAGGATAATTTTTATGGAGCTAGATGCTTGCTTGCATATTACCTGGTCCATTCTTCCTTCTTTGCATATAAATTGCGAGATAAATGGTGACCTTTTAGGTGAATCATTGTCAATACTCTCATCTTCCGATGAAAGGTCAGAATCTTCAAGCGATTCTAGTTCCATAGACTCGTTCTCTTCCTTCATGGCCAAAATGTAATCATATGTTGAAATCCCCTGCCAAGAACGTTACCTTTTAGTTTCAAACATGGGAAGCAAAATTGGGAAAAGAGTAAGACAATCAGAACGGACTAGTTTGCCTGTTAGACAGTAGTCCTATTATCTCATTCAATAATTTGAAGGGAAAAATTGGAGATTGCCAAAATCTACTGGAACGTTAGCAACTCAATGTGCCATATATTCAAGGTTGCAGAAATTAGTAGCCTTAAGAATTAGACATCAAAGGACATTTGTTCTGATTTTATATTCACTCGTAATATAACGTATGTAGTGCGCTCCCCTTTAAGTTGATACATTAGTCCAGAAAGAAAAAGCCATGTTTACACTATAAAAGCCATGATATGTAATTAGCTATATTTGTGCTGGGCATTTGACATAAAAAATAAACTTGAAACCCCTTTAAAGGGAAAATTTGTAATACCTTTTTTATGAGAATTAAGTGAAAGAAGAAGAGTTGTCCCAATGCTGCCGTGCTATAGGCGATCACAGACACCAACAAAACCTGCAAGTCAATGACTGAAACCTTAAAGTGCATATCCAAGGGTATCGAATGACAGAGAATGATTAGCATAACAAATTTATTACTGATATGGTTGCAAGAACTCCTCTTGGGAATTTCATGTAGTGTCTTCTGTTTAGCTCCTGTTGTATTCCTATTTTATCTGCAAAGCACCTGACAAATATTGCCATAGCAGTTCCTCCTTCCACGATGAGCTATACCAATAAAAACATTTCGCTGTTAGCATATGACCATGGAGGGAGAAATAAAAATGATCACACGGAGGGATAAAACGTAAGCAAGTGTCTAACCATTATCAAGACAGAGATCAGCAGAAGAATGAAGGCAGTGTAATTCTTTTTCCCAACACAGTTGTTCAACCACTGAAATGATATAAACAGTAAGTATTCGTCATCACAAGAAGTTTTAATACATGGAAGAAATGGCACACATAATGGTGCAGCAAAGATAAAATGCTCTCTTGCCCTGCAGTGATGATCAAATCCCTCAACACAACGATTGCAGGTCCTGCAGTGCTTGCTGTGCTTTTTGACCTGAGGAGAAGGGATAAAAGCTTTTAGTATAGCTAAAAGAGAAAGGGTTTCCATATCAATCGTGCAATTTGAATAATATATATATGGTATTGAAATATGTCTTCATCCAACCTCAAAATCACAAAGAGAGCAAAACGAGATGTCTTCATCTTTTGGATCGGGTGCTATAGAATCGTCCTTGACGATGAGTGGAAATGGGATAAGAGGTTCCATTTGAATGTTACTCTTCCAAGGATCCAGGTACTTTCTTCTTATGCAAGTCCTAAGGATCCTACGCTCCATCCTTTTGAAGAACCTTACAAAAATCCTGCCTAATATGTGCCAATTATTTATCTTTGGAAAACCAATAGAATTTCCCTTTCTCTTCTTCTTTCTATATCTAAATCTGGTCTTATCACTAGGATCAATGGCTGCACATCTAATAAACAGCATAGCAACAGAAACCGCCTGCAAAATGATATAATGGACAGATATTAATAATAATTCTTTTAATTTGGATGGGATTTAGGGGGTTCAACTTAAAAAATTATTGAATCAAACAGTATAGATAGGAACATGAAAATTACTGCGAAGGAGAAGACTGTGATGAGGGTAATCTCGGCGATTCTGTTGCTGAGGAAAATCCCGAGGAAGCAATAGAATGAAGCTACAAGGAAACAGAAAACTGATATTCCCACAATCTGCAATGCAGTTCCACAAGCAAAACCACTTAATTTAATTGCGATTCCACAAAAAAATTGTGCTAATGCCAGGATCTCAGTAAAATATAAAGCTGATACGGTCCTAGTTTTCAGACAACTTGATGTTACGCAAGTGTATTGTAAGCATTTGTAGAGAAAATTGGTGTAAAAATAGATATGCAAATAAAGAGATTTTTAAGAACCTGTAAAGGGTGGAGAGGGCGTTGCCAGCCATGGCGTCTTGCGGTTATTGAGAGGTGCATAGTCTTCGAGCTTAGGGAGAAAATCGAACAAGAATTCAAATTCTTTAAACTAATCTTTCAGGGAAGTGAAAGAGTGAGCAACGGTCGAATAATCGTTTGAAATTTGAAACTATGAATAGGGCTAAAGTTATCGTACGTTTTCCCTTTTATGGGATCCACGCACACACAAAAACTTGGATTGGGCTCTAGGTCCATGCCAAAATTGACATAAATCTCTCTAGGCTCGTGGGCCTGCCCACTTGGTTTTTATTTAGGGAAAGTTACACAAATAGCCTTAAAAATAAAAATTATTTCTCAAAATACTGTCCAACATTTTTTTTTATTTTTTTTAAGCATCCGTTTGATTGTAAATGTGGAAAATTAGTGGAAAGAAAATGAATTTCAAGAAATTAAGGACCTGTTTGTTTTTTATTCTCAAATTCTACAGTAAATCAATTCTCATTTTCAACCACACATTCTTCAATAAAATAATATTTTCCATTACATCAATAATTTTTTTCCTTTTTCAACCATACATTTCCCATCATATAACTATTCAAAAATCAATTCTTCCCCCAAAAATCTCTAACAAACAAGCACTTAATTTCCGACAACCAATTACATAATGTCACGTGCATTTCTACCAACCAATTACATAATGTCCCTTGTGCATTATGTAACCCTTGACGTACATGTAGCAAAACCTAATACTCTAATAGATAATTTGTTACCAATAAATAATNTTTGTTTTTCATGCAAATTGTCAATTAAATAAATAGATTTTTTTATCATTGGATTTGGAATTTGTTGTCATTACTATAAAATAATAATAATAATAATAATAATAATAATAATGACTGGAAACAATTTTCCCACAAAAAAGGTGGGAAAATGAATTCAAGCAAAACAAAGAAAATGTCACCATGTGAAGAAAAGGTGGAAATCCAATTTCCAAGAAAAAATATTCCCATCAAACAAGCAAATTGGTGGAAGATGGAATTTGAATTCCTAGTTCCATGAAAAAATTTCCATATCAAACACAGCCTAACTAAATAAATTAGTTTCTTTTAATATAATTATTGTTTTTATGTTTTGGAACACTAGACTTGTTTTTTTATTGAATATAGTGTAGCAATAATTTTTATTTCTTGGAGTATATTATATTCAGTTGATCGCCTGTTTGGAAATTTTATTAAATTATTTGTATATTTTCAATTAAATAATGAAACTAAACTGAAATATTCTATAGCTAGATTAAGCCTAGAAATTTTACTTCAATTATGTTTACAACTCAACAAATCATATATTTTTTCTTCTTTGGATAGTTCTCAAATAAATTAACACTGTAAACATTTTTACTTCAATCTGGATAGGGTTATTGATGCAAAACCCCCTTCTGACTTTGCCCCTATTGTGGAATACCCCCTATCTTTTTAGATTGATGGAAAATCACCCATATGACCTTTGAGGTGCGGTAGACCTCCTTGTTGTCCATCCTTGTTAAAGCTACCATTAAATCCATTTAAAGAGGGCCAAAATGAGTCATTTTGAAATTGGGTAATTGGCACAAAACTCCTGTGACCATTGCTCTAATGGAAAAGATTGGCGAAAAATCTCCACAGACGACAATTTAAGTGCGAAATACTATCATCTCTTTCATTTTCTCAATAAAACCTTGTGAAATGACGTTTATATCCTCCTTTTTAAATAAAGTAAAAAAAAAGAAGAAAAAAAAATAAAGAATTAATTGTAACGATAGTTCTAAATTTTTGAAAAAATTACAAATGAATCCCAAGTAACTAATTAAAAATTTTAAATTAAAAAAAAAAAAAGATCTCTCTCATCCTCCTACCCCATCTTCTATAATCATCAGCACCACCACCCTTCATGTTATAAGTTATAAACGGAAGTGACAAGTGGCACCATATTTTAGCAATGAGACTAGCCTAATTAAATCAGGGTATATTTTCCTAGCCTCCGACGTGGATTCCGAGGCCTTGACTTGTTCCGAGGCCATTATTGTTAACTAAAGCCACGGTTCCGTGGACATGCGCTATCCGAGGCCCATTTGTTGCAGCTAGTGGAGATCCACGTGGAAAGATATAGCAATGATGAAGATCTTTATTTCAATGATTGACGTGACTTTTGTGTAAAATATATTTGTGTCTTGTCTTGTCAATGTAAGAGCATTTAATGCTTTGTAAGGTTAGGAGAGTCAACTTGATAGCTAGAACTTGATGTCTTGGCCGAGGAGATGAGGTCACGTGTAACTTGATCCAAAGGTCACCATTTGATTTGTAACACTATAAATACCCCCACCATGTAACACAATAGGGCTAATGAAAATTCTGAATAAAAATCTAAACACTTGGAGCAATATATCTCTCTTTCGTTTACAAAGTGTACTTCTACAACATATTTCCTACCACAAATCGTGCTTTATCGATTGGTTTCTCATACAATCCTGTTACATAAATCTTGCCGGAAGTCCGAACGGAGACATCTCGTGTCGTTGAGCTACTCCCAAGTTCAGTTTCTGGAGTCGTCTTGACCGTTGATCGGCATTAACTTGTCGGATCAAACTCGCGTGTGCACGAGTGGACCTGATATCTGTTGGCAACATTTTTTTTGAGATCAACACTTCCCTTTCCAATGGAGTTTGAGGTTCATATTCTGCCCTCAAACTTGAAGTTCTAACACTCATCAATAGGGTCAAAGAATTGCCAAGAAGATTCTAACTCTTGACGTGGTCATGGAGGTGGTGACATTGAAAATTCACCCTCCTCCCAAGTCCATATTCTTGTGCGGTGGACTCGCTCTAACATTCAAAGCACTACCCCCTCTCGATCCCAATTTCACCCTCCTCGACATACATATTCTTATTCACAAAAGTAATAACATATTTGTTTTGCTTCAATCATAAAATAAATAAATAAAATGAAGAAGTTTGGTGGTTGGTTGGTTGGTGGAGTATCTAAAAATGACATAAGAAGAGGTTTTGGTGGAGATGAGAGAGAAGTCTTGATGAAGCTCTCTCATGTCGATAGATTGTAGGGAATTTGACGGTTACTAGTTGTGTACTTTGTTGGTGGCGGTAGAGACAGTAATGAACCGAGTCAACTCGACTCCATTACCCACGAGCTCGGGTTGTTTGTCAAGGGCCAAGCTCTTGCCTAGGCCCTCGAGCTCACCATTTTCTAATGTAAAAATCCTCCTCCTTTTCTCAAGACTTGGGATCAACTACTTAATTTTCAAGTAGGGAAGTTAAAATTGTATACAACAACTTGTTACATGTACATTTTCTTTAAAAAGCTAAAATATTATTAAGAAAATAACAAAACTTGATTATATGACGAAATTAAATATCATCATCATCATCATTTTTTGTATGTCTAGAATTATAAATTTCTGTAATTAAATGTTTGTATCCTTTACATGATTTTAGTAAATAAGTAAGTAAAGTTTCATTTATGCCCTACGTCAATTATAATTTTTTTTTTGAATCCATACTAAATTGAGCACAATATTGCTCAAATGTTTGTTTTCTACTTGGTGATATGGTGGTTGATATATATAAATGTATCCCTAATTCTACCAATTTGTTCTTTAATATATATCATATCGTCTTGCACAATTAAATTAAAGATTTGATACACACAACAAACATGAAATAGAAAATCACTAAAGTCAGGATTAATAACCATGTACAGTTGATCTATAACGGACTTATTAACAATAGTATTATCAAATGTAAAAGAGTGAATTTTATTTTCGCAACGATATTCTTTTGTAACATGCAAAAGAGGGTTACATATGTAGTTAGCATTATGATGATACTCAATTATCTTAAAAGTAATTATTCTTTTGTGCATAACCCAAAGTGGGTCTATATAGCATGCAATTGTAGCTATATAACCATTTTTGTTAATGCATTCAATAAATTCGAAGTAAACGATGTAACGCCGTCATATTTTTGTAAATCATGAATCAATTGTTTCTAGTGTTTAACAAAATAATCTATGCAGTCAAAACAAAGAGTGTTTCTACTTAACCCAGTGTACCTTGATCGAAGATATTCTTTCACGGACTGTATGAAATGTTCGTTGTCCACTATGCTTACCAGCAACTCAGCATCGACTATGAGCTTCACCTTTCCTTCACAAATATTTTCCTCTGAATACATTCATGTGCTAAGTGTTGTAGAATTGGTACCAAGAGAATGAATATCAAATTGTAGTTGTGTTTGCGTTCCACCAATAAACTCATGTTTGGTCTTACATTTAAGATAGTGACAATTGAGTTGAGTAGTACCGATACCTTTTACCATGCCAATCGTGTTTGACAATATTTACACGCTACTTTGCACTCTTGAACTCCGTCGACTATACGACACGTTGAAATCAATTTAAAGTGTTGCCAACACTTTCCAAATTTTATACCCTTTCGTTTCCTTCTTGCATTGAAAATTTCTAGTTCTATTTCCGCAGCTTCTTTATCAATGTCATCTAAATCAATTGAATTACTACTTCTATGAGCATTGTGAACACCCAAATTCGATAAATTGTCGAAAATGGGAATGCCATCAAGATCAAAAAATTCATTGTGAAATTGAGATTGTGGCGTCATAAGTGAGTGGCCACTGAACAAATCCTCAACTAAAGAATTGGGATCAATTTGTATGTAATATATTGAAATTTATAAAGATGAAGTAGAATTAGAGTAGAGAGTGTAAATTGAATAAAGATGAAATGTATAAATTGAATAATGTAGAATGTAGAGAATTGAAATGAGATTTGAATTGATTGAAAGTAATTTAATTGTAGATAATTTGTGTGAAAAATGGATTGCATAATGAAGTATTTATAGCGTTTTTTTTTTTTAAAAAAATCAGTAACCATTGAGACCCAACGGTCACATTGAAAGTTTTGTAACCATTGAAAAATAGCAGCAAAACTCTCATAAAGTGTGGAAACGGTCAATTTTTTGGAGTGGCCATTTGAGCGCTTTAGTCTCATGGGCTCGCCCATGAGCTGCTCATTGTTCGAGCCCCATGCTCGGCTCGGGTTCAAAGCGAACTGAGTCAATGAGCTACTCGACTCTTTTGTCATCTTTCGATGGTGGTGGTGGTGGTTGTGGTAGAAGATGGGGTTAGGTGGGAGAGAAAGTGATTTTTTATTTTTATTTTTATTTATTAATTAATTATTTGGGATTCATTTGTACTTTTTTGAAAATCTTGAGGCTACTATTGTAATTAATTCTTTTTTTTTTTTTTTTGCTCCTTTTTTTTTTGTTTTATTTAAAGAGGATGGCATATTTGTCATTCGACATGACTTTATTAAGAATATGAAAGAAAATGTTGTATTCCATACTTAAAAGGTGATATGGTGATTTTCGTCAATCTAAAAGGATGATGTATTTTGCAATAAAGTCAAAGGTTTTGTGCCAATTACCTAATTTCCAAATTATTCATTTTGACCCTCCTTTAAGCGTATTTTACGGCAGCAATAACGGGGATGGATGGTAGGGTATATTCCACATTTCAAATGTCATATGGGGGGTTTTTCAAAACCGTCTGCTGGGTTTGGATGACGGAGCGAAAGCAGCACTCCTGTCATGGTGTCATGGTCGGAAGATTTGTTCCAACAAAAGTGTATTTGGCAGCCAATCACCCAGCAGGTTTTGGGTTGGTAACTAACATTATAAATTGAGGCCTGGAATGTCGAATACCCACCGATGGCCGAGTTGCAGATCATATTGGCTTCTTTCAAAGATGTGCCAGCATCTTTATTGTCTACACGGGACATGACTTGGATTGCCAATACCTAAAACCCTACTAACTCATTCTTCTTTTCTAAGTGCCTTCTTGTTTTCCAATTATCTAGTGGAATTTACTTGGAATGTTTGTACTCATTTGTTTGTTCATTTCATAAAGAGAAAAAAATCCAACTTGTTATATAGTCTTGTCCTACCTATTGTATGTTGTGCATTATTCCGTACAAGAATATTATCAATTAGTAACATATCTAATAGCAATGACTTTCTGCACGATTGGTCCTTTTCAGTCTCTAGACTCTCTACCAGCTCAAATAAATTTATAGTACATTATTAATTTCCTTTATTCCTTACCGGAGAGGTTTGAGACGAGATGCATCACTATCTCATTTCAATCGAATAATACTACCAAGGTTATCACAGTACAAATTTCTAATTGCCACAGTTATCATAATATTGGCCTCACTTGTGCTTATCCAAATATACAATGACATTAAACCTTCGCATTACTTGGTATTAATCAAACAAACTGCAATTAAAAGACGATGCTCTGACCAAAACTAAAAAGGAGCATCAAGGACCTACCATTTTCACTATTCTTTTAACTAAAACTATGAAGTTTGAACAAACGACAAGAAATCTGTTACCTCTGCTGCAACTTCATATGCCCCTTCCACGCATCTGCCCAAGGCTACACCAGATACATAGTTACCCCCAAGAAACAAGCCTTTAAAGCCACCATCATTCAGAGCAGATTTTGCAGCATCTAAAACATCCAAATGACCAACATTAAACTGTGGAATAGCTTGTGGCCACTTACGGATTCCCAAAACTAGTGGATCCTGTGCATTGGGATTTATTAGCATCTTTCTCAGATCACGATCCACTGCTTCCACGAGTTGGCTTTCCGTCTGCTCAAAGAATCAGCAGTGAGGAAATGACCAGAACAAGTATGCATGAATGTCTAGGAATAGAAAATGCACAATAAAATGACTGTGTATATTAAAATAGATCATTGACAAATTGCTTTAAAATAAAAATGTCAGGTCTATCTTAACCAGAAGCCAATCACAGGCAGCTATGGTTTTATCCCAACAAAATTCCATTCTGATACTTCCTTTCCGGATAGAAATATAATAAAACCTGGGTTTTGCAATCTAGAAAGCTTGTATTAGCCACCCACAAACATGACTACATCTAGCACTCCTTGGAGAAACTTATTTGGTGTCCAATAGTGGAACCTTGAACACAAGCATGGAACAGATTTTAAAGTCTTAAGAAAGCAAAGTCGATAGTTTCAAGATACGATCATCATATCTGGACCAGATAACCTTTCTAGATGAGAAGTATGGATAAAAATTAAAGCAGACAACTTTAAAAATGGATAATGCAATCACCACTAATGCTAGTGACTTTCATCAACAGATAATGAGATATGATGCATAATTGCCAGAAAAGAAGACGAGACTTAGCCTATTACTTCCTCGTGATTATATATTTCAAAAATCCAATGTTTTATGGAAGAGGGGAACTTAACTTGATAATGATTTTTATAATGATTGAAGTTCGGATACATTGAACCAGGATGTCTTGTTCCATATTATAAATGGGAAAGGGGGATATTGATCAAACAGTGCTACGCTTTCTCTTTCTAACACAGACCACAATATAGCCTTTAAGGAGGAGACTTGAATGTTAGTTTTCTTTTTTGTGATTCATTGTGATGAAGTCTCAGAAAACATGAATTTATATTTCTTCTATGGGTTTTTCTATGTCCTTCACGCAGTTTTAACAAATTTTGCCTTGAATAATCAAAGAATAGTGGCCCCAGGCTGTGGTTTGTGGACTGATGCCCCACCTTTGACATAATTCCAGTATTAGTTGCTCCTCCAATGTAGTTCAAAAGAAGAATCCTTCCAGGTGGTGCACGGTTAGGAAAAAGTGATGAGCTGTATATAGTTCCTGCAGAAAGATATAAAAACCAGGAAGTTGATTATATCACTGGTATAGCAGTCTTCGTATTGTAATCCAACATGTTTGATTTGTAACATTCAAAGAAACTCAGTTTTATATTGTACTTAATACTATCTTCCAAACACAAGTCTTGTTAATATGGTAACTTACCTAAAGTTTCAACACCTTGGGAACGGGGATGCAACTGCCCAAACCCCTTTAGCTCACCGTCAATCAAACATTCTTCACGAATTGCTTCTTTCGGATACGATATGGTCACTGCGGCAACGGGGGGATAATAGAACTTCGATAATGAGTCAGCAGCAACAGCCTGCATGGGAGGGTGAAAATATATTAAGGAAGCTACATTAACCCCCCTATGGCTCTGCCCTTGACTCAGAGGAAAGTAGCAATCCCATTTTAGCAACTACAACAAATATCAACCCTGTTTCACTTACCGAAACAGGCTGCAATATAGAGCTAGCCACATAGGATGGAACAGTCATTACAACACTTTTACTCTGCAGAGAAACCATCCCATCTGGAGTTTCATATAGCAACGTATATTGTCCATTGTCTGACTTGGTGATACTTGAGAGCTTCCATGATAATTTGACTTTGTTACCCAACCTTAAATATGAAACATACACACACTGCTCCAAATTAGTATCATATACAAACAGAGAATTCTGAACACAGCAGGAGGAAATGTATATATTTTGCTTTTCCAGATGTAAAATTAGAATGAAGAGTACCTTGAAAAAATTGCGTTAGGTAACATTATCAAGCCCTTCCTGAATGATCCAACAGTTTGGCCCTTTGGTTTCGGTAAGCGTCTGCAGAATTAATGCTTTAAATTAATGAACAATGTGGACAAGTGGCAAAATAAACGTTAAGAAAGACGTTAAATGAAGCATGTTATTACGGATCTCGAGGTGTCTTGGGGCTACTAGATTTCTCCTGGATTGCTTTAATGGTTCCGCTGATGATACTACCACCATTTTGTTCTAGTTTCCATACTTTCCCAAATGCTGCTCTCATGCTCAGTTTTGATGGATCTCCAGCATAAACACCTGCATAAAAAAGAAATCTGTGAGATGTACGACCTTATTTACCCAAAAAAAAAAAGTTAAATCTGTTAATATTTATTTAATTTTCAACAAATATACGGATGGTGAAACAATAATACAACTAGTGCTGAACTAAGACATATTAGATGACAAAAGCACTAGTTACGGTTCTCTCCATGCACACACTGCCATGCTTAGGCCAATCTTAGAAGTGAATATTTTTTAGATTCCAGAAAGTAGTGTTGATGAAAAATATCAAGGTCAAGGACCTCATTCAAAGCACAGAAAGAAGAAAAAAGAATAGAATGGAATGAAAATGATAAGCCGCAATAGACACTTGATGCAAAAAAAATTGTTATTATGACAAGTAAATCCGAAAGCTAGAAAGATCCAATTCTTGCAGTACGAATACTGGTTGACTAAATTTTTGTGAGCAGCATAAATAACAAACAAACAGCATCTAAGAAAACCATGTTTACAAACAAGCAGATCTTTGCTTTGTTAGCTTACAAAGCAATGCTAATGAACCAACGCATATGGAAAATCAGTTTGCAAGAAAGGGCAGCAAAAAGTTCTGCATTCGGTCAGCTACAGCTCTTTCAAAATCAGATTCTTAAGTTTGTAAACTTGTGCAGTTCAGCTTAACCTCATAAACGGCAAATAGTTAGTGAATACTTGGTAAATTTACAGAGCTACTCAAGAACAACGGCATTCATCTTAATGACGCTTCATGTGCAACTCAACGAGATAACGAATATATAAATCAAGCTCGACTAGACCATCTCTCAGGCTTGTTTATGATATCAAATTGAGCCTGAACATCCTAAATCTTTGTTAGATTTATGTACTCGTATGCTTTCATTAGAGCAGAAAGCAAGAACCCGTGGGCCATGAACGCATTAAGTCAATTAGCAAACAGACAATAAAAACGACCAAAGATAATAATATGCAATCAATGTTGATCGCTTTATAGAATATGGCAGGGTTTTGAGAATAATCTGAAAAGTGTACCAGTTCAGTCCAATTCCTGCAACAACCATCAAAGAACTTTCTTTTTGTCTCATCAAACAGGAAAGTATAACTTGGCCGGCTTAAGGACCCGAACAGAAAAAAGAATGAGGAAAGAAAAGCATTGAAGTGTCACAGACTGAAGGAACTGGCGCCTACCAGAGCAAAATGGCTCTATCAAGCGCTCAAAAACTTCACTACCAAGGTTACGCCGGACAAACTCTTCCACCGTTTCCTCATGACCCTGTCACCTTTGACAAATTTTGGAATATGAGAAGAAACATCCCAGAATGGAATTACGAAAGAGAAAAAATAAAGAGAGGGCGAAGCACAAACTGGAGGAGATGGCCGCAAACCAATAGCACCAAAGCCAGCTCTGATTTTGCCCGGAATACTCATCAAGTCAAAAAGCGGCAAGTCAGTAGGCTTGGAGGGCACTGGCCTAAGCTTACCATTCCACAAAACAAAACGAGGTGCATTTGGATCCCCCAGCACCAATTCATTCTTCAACCCACTATCCAACTGCATTGTTTACCACACCACTCAGCCAACTCTTGTATGTTGAAATGAGAGAATGAATAATTAATTTTTAAGAAACAACGTAATAAAGTTGCAAGAAATATGAAATTAGGATAATTGGGAAAGATAGAGAACGGACCGCCATGGTGAGCAGGGGATCGGAGGGCTGGAAGCTGTTGGGGCCTTCTTCCCAAAGATAGCCATCCCTCTCGACAGTAGTGATGTTTCCACCGACGCGGTCTCTGGCTTCCGTCACCATGAGATTGGAGTTTTGGTGCTTGGTCGCCAGGGCCTGGGCGATGCAGAGGCCGCTGATTCCCGCCCCGACAATTACGCAGTCCAAAACCGATTGGCTGTTCCCAGTAGACAGAGATGGAGTGGCCGTGGCTGGACCCTCGGCAACTGAGCACTGGATTCCTCGCCTCCGGCGGCTGTATTTGACCTTGTTTTTGCGTCTGCAAACGGAAGGGATTGAAAATGACAACGAAGACGATAACGGAATGACTGACTTGTAGCACTCAGAAGCGAGAAAATGAATATGGGTGCTGGTGAAGCTACTCATTTTTAGCTGATTTTTTATTTTTTTATATATTGAAAAAGAGGAGGAAGATTCAGAGCCAGTGCCGTGCCTTATCCTGTAATTCTTCGTGTGCCTGTTGTGGGTTAGGAGGATGGGATTGGAGGGTACTTAATATTATATAGGGATAATTGCAATAAGTTCTCAAATTTTTCAAATTTTCACAATTTTTATTTTTTTTTCTTAACTTTTCAGTTATTGCATCCACGGTCCCAATTCTTTCAAACGTGAGCGACTGGAGGACAAATGAAAGATTTTCGAAAGATGACAAAAAACCTCGTTCAACCCAATATTCGCGGAGTCCGTCCCAAGTGGGGGCGAAGATTACCCGCCTAATCAGAAAAATAGGGAGAGAACGGGACAAAAGTCATTGCCCCGAAGTGGGGTACGGGAAATATAGTTCACGTTCCATTATCCGTCTTATTTAAAGTTAATTTCAAATTTAAATTTTCTATCAAATAAAAAAAAAATTATCATGATTTTTAAATAGAACGCGAGTTGTTCTTAACAAATTGGAAAGAAACAATTAATAATATTTACTAATTAGGACTGGGCTTGAAAATCACAGCCCAAAAAATCGACCCGACCCGAGATGGGTCAGGTCGGTTTATGGATAAATCCGGGTCGGATAAGGTAAAATAAATTTAAAATAATTGTGGGTTGGGTCAGTTCAACCTCACAAACCGACCCGACTCAAAATTAAAACCCTAGCATCATCTTCACTTCCTGAAATCTATGAACTTTATCTTCATCTTCAGCCTTACAAAAGTTGGTGGCAGCCTTAGTCTTGGCAGAAGGAATCGACTTCTTCTTAGCCGAAGCAAAAGCGGAGCATCCAATTATGCAGTCTTTGACGCCTACAACTTGCCTGAAAAGGGGGAAAACTCATCGGCAAAGATAGAGTACACATATCAACAACTTTTTTCCAATAGGAAACTAATGTAACAAGTATTTTGGCTTCAAGTTGATGCAAATTGGTTTAGTATGGCAACCAAACTTCAGGTTAGGTGAGTTGAGGGGTTACATAAGATGTTTTTGACAAAATTATTACTAACTGCATATGTCACGATCCGTCCCAAGTCACCCTAATAGACCTGACATGTGTCGTGCTCCGATGGTAAATACCAACTAAGTGTCGGACCCACCACCAAGGCGACTATGACTTGTTTTAATTGTGACACACTTTTATAAAAGTTTTGATAGAGTTTTCCATGTAATATGGACCAAAACTACCTGAATAATAATCAAAATCCTCCAACCAGAACATATTTTTTAAAACAGGGTACACCAACCCCTCAAAATCAAACCATTCAAAAACAACACAAGAAAGTCGAAAATTAAAAATATTTAATATCAAAAGTCTCAAAAAACTCAATATGCAATGAGCCCATGACA